CTACCGACGTGTTTTGAAACCCGGCAAAAATTGCAGAAACGATCCGGCAGAGAAGTCAGATCAGAGTCGAAGTGATGGCTGCAAACGAAGGAAAAATGAAAATTGAATAGTTCGATGGTGCGGACTTTGGCTTTTGGAAAATGCAGATCGAGGATTATCTGTACCAAAAGAATATGTATCAACCACTCACAGGAAAGAAGCCAGAGGACATGAAGGAGGAAGAATGGAGTCTCCTTGACAGACAAGCTCTTGGAGCCATTCGGCTGACATTATCCCGTAATGTTGCTTTTAACATTGCAAAAGAAAAGACGACAACAGGCCTCATGAAGGCTCTTTCCAACATGTACGAGAAACCATCAGCCTCAAACAAAGTTCATTTGATGAGGCGATTGTTCAACCTTCGGATGACCGAAGGTGCTCCGGTGGCACAACATCTCAATGAGCTCAACACTGTTACAACACAGTTGAGTTCAGTTGAGATCGAGTTCGATGATGAAGTACGGGTTTTAATACTTTTGTCCTCCCTACCAGAAAGTTGAAATGCTACGGTCACAGCTGTGAGTAGCTCATCGGGAAACAATAAGTTGAGATTTGATGATGTTCAAAATTTGGTTCTCAGTGAAGAGATCCGACGGAGAGAGTCGGGTGAACCATCGACCTCTTCTGTATTGCATACAGAATCAAGAGGAAGAAGTTCAACCAAAGAAAGCAGACACAACAAATCAAAAGGAAGAAGATCCAAGTCCAGAAATCATCGTAGTTCCCAAACCTCGAAGTCGATCGAGTGCTGGAATTGTGGGAAGACCGGGCACTACAGAAACCAGTGCAAGAGTGCACCGAAGGGTCAGGAGGCAAAAGACGAGGCAAATATTGCTTCAGTCTCTGGAGGAGATATGCTGATATGTTTTTTGGAGAACAAAGAAGAGTCTTGGGTGTTGGACTCTGGAGCATCCTTTTATGCTACCTAACAGAAGGAACTATTCAAAAATTATATTCTTGGGAATCTTGGTAAAGTTTACCTTGGTAATGAGCAATCATGTGAGGTTGTAGGGAAAGGTGCAATAAAAATCAAGCTGAGCGGGTCTGTATGGGAATTGAAAAATGTCAGACATATTCCAGACCTGACGAAGAATTTAATCTCCTTGGGCCAGCTAGCCAGTGAAGGCTACGCGACAATCTTCCATGGTGATGATTGGAAGATTTCAAAGGGTGCTATAACAATTTCTCGAGGCAAAAAGAGTGGTACTCTTTACAAGAACACAAGAGCATGTCATCTAATTACAGTTGCAGCAAATGAAAATCCCAATCTATGGCACCAAAGACTTGGGCATATGAGTGAAAAAGGGATGAAGATCATTCACTCAAAAGGAAAATTACCAGGCCTCCAGTCAATAGAAATTGACATGTGTGAAGGTTGTATACTTGGAAAGCAGAAGAGAGTCAGCTTTCAGACAAGTAGAAGAACCCCAAAGAAGGAGAAGCTTGAGCTCATCCACTCTGATGTTTGGGGTCCAACGACTGTCTCATCCGTTGGTGGGAAGCAATACTTCGTGACTTTTATCGATGATCACTCCAGAAAGGTATGGGTTTACTTTCTGAAACACAAGCCAGAAGTATTTGAAGCTTTCAAGATTTGGAAAGCTATGGTGGAAAATAAGACAGGCTTGAAGATCAAGAAGCTCAGATCCGACAATGGTGGTGAATATGTAACCACCAGATTCAAGAAGTTTTGCTATGAGCACGGGATCATAATGGAGAGAACTGTGCCTTGTATGCCTCAACACAATGGTGTAGCTGAGCGTATGAATCGAACGTTGACTGAAAGAGCCAGAAGCTTGCGTGTGCAGTCAGGCCTACCAAAGCAGTTCTGGGCAGAAGCAGTCAACACAGCAACTTACTTGATCAACCGAAGTCCATCGGTACCACTGGATCACAAGTTACCAGAAGAGCTATGGAACAAAAAAGAAGTAAAACTCTCACATCTTAAAGTTTTTGGGTGTGTTGCATATGTGCACATCAGTGATCAAGGTAGAAACAAACTTGATCCAAAATCAAAGAAATGTACTTTTCTTGGTTATGGTGAAGATGAGTTTGGCTACCGCTTATGGGATGATGAAAACAAAAAGATGATCTGCAGCAGAGATGTCATCTTTAATGAAAGAGTGATGTACAAGGACTGGCATAACACAAGTGCCAGCAACTCAGAAGCGAGTGGGCCAGTTTATGTTGAGGTGGAAGATATCCCAGACAGTCCTATAATGAGGAGTCCTCAGTCAGAGGAATCAAATGAAGAAAGTGAAGTGCAATCAGAACCTTCTACTCCAGCTCCTGTATTGAGAAGGTCCTCTCGGCCCCACGTGTCTAACAGGAGATACATGGACTACATGCTGCTGACTGATGGAGGGGAGCCTGAAAGTTATATGGAAGCTTGTCAAACCACATATGCTAGCAAGTGGGAGCTTGCCATAAAGGACGAGATGAAGTCCTTGATCTCAAATCAGACATGGGAACTAGTCAAGTTACCTATGGGAAAGAAAGCACTTCACAACAAATGGGTGTATCGAGTGAAGGAAGACCATGATGGTTCCAAGAGATACAAAACCCGACTGGTTGGCAAAGGATTTCAGCAGAAAGAAGGAGTTGACTATACTGAAATCTTTGCTCCAATTGTAAAGCTCAATACTATTAGGACGGTGTTAAGTATTGTGGCTAGTGAAGAGCTCTACCTAGAGCAATTAGACGTGAAGACTGCATTTCTTCACGGAGACCTAGATGAGGAGATCTATATGCACCAGCCTGAAGGATTTTCAGATGGAAAGAAGGATATGGTGTGCAAATTGAAGAAGAGCTTGTACGACCTGAAACAAGCTCCAAGACAGTGGTATAGGAAGTTCGAAAGCTTCATGCACAAGGAAGGTTTCCAGAAGTGCAATGTTGATCACTGTTGTTTCTTCAAGAAGTATGAGTCTAGCTATATCATCTTGCTACTTTATGTTGATGACATGTTAGTAGCAGGATCAGATATGAAAGACATCAGAAAATTGAAGATACAGTTGTCAAAAGAATTTGACATGAAGGACTTAGGCCCAGCAAAGAAGATTCTTGGAATGCAAATCACGAGAGATAAGCAAAAGGGAGTTTTGTAGTTATCTCAAGCAGAGTACATCAACCGTGTCTTGCAGAGATTTAATATAGACAAGGCCAAACCAGTCAGTACACCTTTGGCCAGCCATTTTCGTCTATCCAAGGATCAGTCTCCTCAAACAAAAGAAGAAGAAGAGTTCATGGCTAAGATTCCTTATGCTTCAGCCATTGGAAGTTTGATGTATGCGATGGTATGTATGAGGCCAGACATTGGCCATGCAGTGGGAGTTGTGAGCAGATTTATGTCAAAACCAGGAAAAGCTCATTAGGAAGCAGTCAAATAGATTTTGAGATATCTATGTGGCACAACAGAAAATTGTCTGTACTTTAGAAAAGAAGATCTAAAGTTACAAGGCTACGTAGATGCAGACTTTGGAGGTGAAGTTGATCACCGAAGAAGTACCACCAGTTATGTTTTCACTATCAGAGCTACAGCTGTTAGTTGGATGTCGCGGATACAAAAGATTGTTGCTCTATCCACGACAGAGGCTGAGTATGTAGCAGTGACAGAAGCCAGTAAAGAATTGATATGGCTTCAAGGATTGTTAGCAGAGTTGGGTTTCACTCAGAAAGAGAGTGTCTTGCACTGTGACAGTCAGGGTGCAATACATCTGGCAAAGAACTCAGTGTTTCACTCCAGAACTAAGCACATTGATATACGATATCATTTCATCAGATCTCTTCTTGAGGATGAAGTGTTGATCTTGAAGAAGATTGTAGGAAGCAAGAACCCGGCAGATATGCTAATGAAGGTGGTGACCATTGACAAACTGAAGTTGTGCTCAACTTCAGTTGGTCTGCTAGGATAACAGACCGAGAAGACTACTGCAGTAATTGAGGTGTGAGGACAGATTGAAATCAGTCCTCAAGTGGGAGATTGTTGATTCAAGAATAGTGGCCACAGTTTTTCTTTGACAAGCTGCAAATGAATAAAAAAAAAACGTGCAGCAACCAAAGGAGAAAAAGAGGCAGCCACCTTTCTTAAAAAATTGCAGCACGAGCCCAGTTGTGTTAGTTGAAAAATTGGAGTACACAGATGTTGAATTTATGTGCTACTCCCCCTCTATAAATAGAGGGATTTTGATGAACATAATACACACCAACAAATACAGAAAACACAGAAAGAAAGAGAGAAAAAGAAGAGAGTAAAATAAGTAAAATATTTAGTTTCTGTGTGTATTTGAATTGTGAGTTGCGAGTGAGGTTGAGAGTGTTTTGTAAACACGAGTGTATTTTTCTTCCTAATAAAATATCTGCAGTAGTCCGGAGACGTAGGCATTATTGACCGAACTCCGTTTTTAAATTGGTGTGTCCAATTTTTATTTTTTATTTCACTTTTATAGATCCAATTTCATAAAAAATTCAACGTATTTTTTTCAACAACTAATAAGTGTAATATATACTATTCATGGTTTGACATTAATCCACACAATGACCCCATTTTTCTGTTTCTTGATTTCTAAGGAACATTTATTGGAAACCAAACCCTTTACTCCGCACCCCCAACATTAATTAGACTATAAACAAACTCACAAGTCTCACACGGAAGCAAAAACAAGTACCATCAAATTAAAATTCAACTCCCCTCTACATATCTTATATATATTTGGATACATTTAGACACAAGCTGTCAAACCTTCTAACTTTGTCATCCCCACTAATAAAAATAATAATAATAATAACAAGAAAAAGAAAAAAATAAGAATCTTGTCCCCTTTTTTCCTCCATATTTCATGCTCCATGCTTAATCCTCAAGCCCATAACCTTCATCATCATCATCACCATCATCCTCCACGCGACCATGAAAATCCCTTTACTAATAATCTTTTGCTTGTATCTAATTATTTTTCCCTTTCATGAACTTCACCACGTCAAGAACCTCCAAAGCACACGTCCCGAAAACGGGACATCCTTTTCGGACCATAAACCTTCACTCCAAAATCGAAAAGCGCTTTCCGGTCAGAAATTTGATTTGGTACCTTTCATCAAGTGCCTCAGCCGGAAAACGGGACTTCCACCGGCTGCCATCGAAATAGATCCTCGTTTTGGTGTTGAGAAGCGCCTTGTTCCTAGTGGTCCAAACCCTTTGCACCATTAGCTTAATTAAAAGTATGAAATGGTTAGTGAAATGTGATTTGTATTAATTGTCTCAATTTTTTAATTTCTTAATTAGTTCTCATGATTAATTGTAGTTATTTTTTAGGTAATTAATCGTGCGTAAAACTACACATGATATGAGTTTCTTTTCTTGTTTCCTTTTTGTAAATTGTAAGTTCAATAACAATGTAAAATATCTATCTATCTTAGATATGGTATGAATGTTGATCCGCATTTTCTTTTTCCTTTTCTCTTAAACACAATCACTAGCAAGAGAGATAATAATAATCCACTTGAAAATTTAAGGGTGTGATTGGATATGAATTTAGTTTTGATTGATTTTTTTGTTTTTTATCATAGTTAATTTTAAGAAAGTGGTTGAGTTATGTTTGAGTGTATTTTGATTTTATATTAAAATAATATTTAAAATAAAATGATTAAAGTTTATTGATGTATAGTTAATTTTAAAAAAGTGGTTTAGTTATGTTTGAGTGTATTTTGATTTTGTATTAAAATAATATATAAAATAAAATGATTAAAGTTTATTGATTTAAAAATATGAGAAAAGTTATTAGAAACGATCAGTAGTTAAAAATATGTGACTGAACGAATAGTGAATAAAGTTGATGTGATATATAATGATGATTGATTAGCATTATTTAATTCTATAGATAATATAATTGAAGTTGAGTTACAATCTATATATATAATAAGAATTACTATTTACCAAAAATAGTAAGCAGAAAAATTTGCCAACATTAATTGCATACCATTTTGGGCAAGTTTTGTTTTATTTTTTATTTATTAAATTGAAACATTTAAATATGTCTTCAATCACGGATACTTAATTTTGGTAACCAAATTGTTCAATTTTGGTAACCAAATTGTTCAATTTTGGTACAAATAATGCTTTTAAAAATTTGAGTTTTATTTCAATACCAATTCTTTTTAAAATTAACTAGTACGTAGCCTGTGCGATGCACGGGACATAAGTATTAAATGAGTCATTTCCACAGAGCTTGTCCGTTAAGTAGCTCTTGCGATTCACGTGAGATATTAAATGAGTGGACCATAGGGCTTGTCCGTTCAGCCCTAAAAAATAATAGAGTTTGATTATCTATCTTTTTACATCTTTTCATCAAAGTCATTTTTTTGTCGGAACATTAAGCCTGAGTCTGATAGCGCAAGCCCGTAAATTAATTAATATATTATCTCTCTCACATGTTTATAATAATATAAATTTTATTTCATTATATATATATATATTCCTTGGTATAAGAAAAATAACGATTTTACGTAATCTTATTCCTCGTATAATACTCATATTATTTTATTATAAAATTTATTATAATATAATTTCATTATTATTATTTATGCAAGTTATAGATGTAGTCTTCTTCTTCTTTTTGTTTTATATAACTAAAATATTTAATGTATGTTCATATTATTTATTAATGTAATTAATTTAAATTATGTAAATAAATTTAAAGTAAAAAATTTTGTACAAACACTTTACAAAATATACACAAATATTTTTTTTAAAATTTATTTTTTTATAATAAATAAACATATTTGAAATTCTATGCAATTATTAAACATCCTTGATATAAATTCGAAATCATAATTGAATTCTATGCAATTATTAATTCTGTCCGATGTTATGAGAAACAAATCATTCGGAAATGATTATATGTAAGTTGAGATAAAATGAAATGTATCAAAAAAAAATGTGCTTATGATATTTTCCTTTAAATGTTTGAATGAATTTGAAATTCAAATTACAAATCGACCTTCAGTTATTCAAATAATTTATAAAAGTTATCAATTGTACTAAAATGTATGTGACAATATATTATAAATATACATGACGTCAGTAATGTTATGAATTTTTAAGTTCTTAAAATATATATTTTTTAGATATGAAACTAATTAACTTATATGTTAAGAAAATATATATAAACATATGTATTGTACGAAATATACACGTGACAAGTTATTATATTTGTTTATATATTGTTTGTATTGTTTATTATATTTGTATATAAATATATTGTTTATATATTTGTCTGTATTGTACGACAAATTATTATATTTGTTTATATATTGTTTAAATATATATTGTTTAGATATGATACTAATTAACCTATATGTTAAGATAATATATATATAAATATATGTATTGTAAAAATCTTTAATTTGTTTGTTAAATTTTTCTCCTAAAAATTCAAAATACATTTAAGCATGTTTTGTTTGAAGTTTGAAATTTAAATATGCATCTATATAACAAATCCCATGATTTATGCTAGCATTAAATGCTACTTGATTTTTTATTAAAAAAATTAAAAATAAAAAACATACCAAAAATGGAATGCAATTAATATTCCCTATTTTTTTGCTTACTATTTTTGAAAATTTTAATTCTTATTATATATTCAGATTGCTATCAACATTCATTAATTGGGAAAAAAACTTGCAAGTTCATAACCCCTAATAATTGTGTGCAATTCATCAAAATCAATGATATCACATAATTAATTGTCAGATTTGTATGTTTTCAGCCGAGTTGAGTTTTAAAAGAAAAATATCATTTGAATGTCAAAAAATTTTGTGTAACAAAATAATTTTGCCGATCAAAAAATAACAAATCTACCGACACATACTCAAATTCTAAGAGTTCTTTTGACTAATCGTAAACACCCAAAAAAATTCGAACATAAAAGTACAAAAATTGATCATAAAAACCTTAAAATTAAAAATTTCACTTTTTTTTTTCAGGCAAAACAACTAAAATTAACAAAATCTACCGGCGCACACTCAAATTAGAAGGATTCTTTTGATTAATTGTAAAAACCGAAAAATTCGAACATAAAACTATAAAAATCGAAAATAAAAACCCTCAAATTACAATCCATATTTTGTTTCGTGCAAAACACCTAAAATTAATTTAAAGTATCAATTAAATGAAAACTAAAAGAGAATATGTATTTATAAGGCCCTCAGTGTTAGAACAGAAAAGTTGGAAGATCGATGAAAAAAGACGAAAGAAGAAGCTGGAAGCGGCAAAAAATGAAGGAAGAAATGAAGTTCTTGGTCCGATAATTTCACTATTTATACTATGTTCAGTGTAACCTAAACTGTCGATTTCCGTTGACTAATCTGGATCATTGGATTATTTTTTCTGTTTTGTTTGAGCCGATATGAATTTTTTGAAGCTAACATTTTTCAAAAACATTCTTATTTTACAAGCCCAATATGATTAATAAATCATTACGCGTATCTTATAATAAGTATTTGTTAAGTTTAATTGTAATCAATGATCGATACTTTATTATATAATTCAAATTTAAATACAAAATTACCTTTTAAAAAGAACGAAAAATAATAAAGCCCCGTGCATCGCACGGGTACTGTATTACTTATATGGAGTTGAATTAAAATTGAGTTAAGTTTAAATTTTGATTAGTTTCTTTTTTATTATTATTATTGAGTTGATATTCAATCAGACGTTAAAAGAAAGTAAAACAAAATCAATTGGGGTGGCACATCGCAATAAAATTATCCTGATCAAACTCAATAAAATTTCCATTTTATCGCACTACGTTATTTTCTTTTCCGACCAAAATAAAATTTAAAATATGCATAACAACAGTTGGAGAAGCTCCCAAGGAAATGTTCACATCACTTTCAATCTTGTTTCGAGGATTTGGTGTTAAAGATTTAGAAAATTAAATGATTGTGAAGTAAACCACTAATAGAATTTACTTGATATTATAAAATATTTATGTAAAATACTTTTTAATTTCCGTTATTGTAGTCGCAACAAAAAATGTATATGTGACAAAATTTTGATTGTCATTAATACTTTTTTTTTTAGTGGGCGGATTCAACCGCAAATACTTGGGTGTGCCCTAGCACACCTTATTAGGTGTGCCAGGGCATGTGTGAAATGCACTCTCTCTTAAAATCGCGTGAGGTAAGGTAATAAGGTATGCAAGTTTTTTTTTTTGTTTAAAAAAGACAAGTGTCCAATATATATTGGATAATAAATTTTACATATCATATTATACAAATTAAATTATTATTCACATTTTATATTAAAAAATAAAAATAAAAATACCAAAATTCATAATTTTTCAATCTCTACAAATAGAGACCACATTTGATAAGTTTTGGAACACAATTAATTTATCATTTTTTATAATTAAATTATCTTTTTGGAAGGTGATGACACAAATATATAATAAGATGAACATGTTACATACTAAGATGCGCATGTTATATAGTAAAATGAACATGTTATAGAATAAGATGAAAATGTTATAATTTTACAGATGGAATTTAGATGAACATTTTATACAATAAGATGAACATGTTACATAATAAGATGAACATGTTATAGAATAAGATGAACATGTTACATATTTACACAATAAGATGAACATATGAACATGTTATAAAATCAGATGAACATATGAACATGTTATATAGTAAGATGAACATATGAACATTGGAACACAATTAATTTATCATTTTTTACAATTAATTTATCTTATTGGAAGATTATGACGCAAATATATAATTAGATAAATATGTTACATAGTAAGATTAACATGTTATAGAGTAAGATGAACATGTCATAGAATAAGATGAAAATGTTACATTTTTCAGAGATGAAATTTAGATGAACATGTTACATAATAAAATGAACATGTTATAGAATAAGATGAACATGTTTAGATTCCATATCTACATCACGGTCTCTCACATTGTTTTCTCCAATTTTCAATTCATATATAAAATTCTGGTCAATTTCTTGCTCGACTTTCACTCGTTTAATGCAAGCATCTCCGCCCTGAAATAATAAACCATAATCTACAGATAAGAACTCAAATTTATGCAATAGTCATACTATAGGGAATGAAAGTGAAAAACTAGTAGAATGTAAAAGAAATTCCATAAATTAGTCTTTCGATCGAATATCCTCCACCTTCACAAACCAAAATCCTCTCTAATAAGATGAAAATGTTAGATTTTTCACATATGAAATTTAGATGAACATGTTATAAAATAAGATGAACATGTTACATAATAAAATGAACATGTTATAGGATAAGATGAACATGTTACATAATAAAATGAACATGTTATAGAATAATATGAACATGTTACATAATAAAATAAACATGTTATAGAATAAGATGAACATGTTTAGATTCCATATCTACATCACGGGCTCTCACATTATTTTCTCCAATTTCCACTTCATACACAAAATTCTGGTCAATTTCTTGCTCGACTTTCACTCGTTTAATGCAAGCACCCCCGCCCTGAAATAATAAACCATAATCTACATATAAGAACTCAAATATATGCAATAGTCATACTATAGGGAATGAAAGTGAAAAACTAGTAGAATGTAAAAGAAATTTCATAAATTAGTCTTTCGATCGAATATCCTCCACCTTCACAAACCAAAATCCTCTCTAATAAGATGAAAATGTTACATTTTCACAGATGAAAATTAGATGAACATGTTATAGAATAAAATGAACATGTTACATAATAAAATGAACATGTTATAGAATAAGATGAACATGTTACATAATAAAATGAACATGTTATAGAATAAAATGAACATGTTACATACACAATAAGGTGAACATGTTACCAAAAAAGGAAAATTAGTTGTGTTCAAAAACCTATCAAATGTGGTCTCTATTTATAGATAATGAAAGATTATGAATTTTGGTATTTTTATTTTATTTTTTTAATATAAATAATTAATGATATTTTAATTTATGTAATATGTCTCATTTTTTCATTAAAAAAGAAAAATTGGGAGAGTGCACTACACCTTCTAAATTTTCTAGTTTTTTGAGAGTGAAGGGCGCGTGTAATACTGCCCTGGCACACCTAGCTAGGTGTGCCAGGGAACACGGTAGTGGTACTGGGATTCAACATAAGAGCAACTCCAACAAAGGTGTAATGTCATTTCAATGTCAGAATTATGTTTGGCTTTATTGGTGGAGAAGGTGTAAATTTTACACCGTTTCTTCTGGCTTCAACGGTAAAAAAAGGGGCCATTTGTCCAATTTGGGTGCAATTGTCAGCCACTTTTTTTTTTTCCACACTAAAAGTAGGATAGTGATGGTGGGGTAGTTGTGGGTCAAAGATTATTTTTAAATCAATTTATATTAGTATAACGTGTTAGTAGAATAATATATATTTTTAAATCAATTTATATTAGTATAACGTGTCAATTTGGGTACAATATTTATTGTCATATAATGTCATTATTATTATTTATAAAGGTTATAGAAGTAGTGATCTTCTTCTTCTTCTTAGTTTAGGTAATGAATTTTAAAATAAAATTTCGTGTATAAATGTTTACAAAATACACACACATGTTTTTTAAAATTTAATTTTCTCATAATAATTAAAAAATTTGATTTAGCAAATTGACAACTCTTACATAATCAAGATATTTTTCTAATTTGCATCTTAAGGTTTTATTAATTTATTTAACATAATATGCAATATAATATATATTTTACAATAAATTTATTATGGAAATAAATAAAAAATAAAAAATAATAAAAATTATCATGGTTGACAATAACATACAAATAAATCTTGTTGAAATTGTAAAGAATAATTAATATAATTTAATTTTATTATCTAACCATTAGTAAATTAGTTAATGATGTGATCATTATCTCCCAAATGGTAAATTATTTTAATTTAAAAAATTATTTGTTTTTATATAATTAAACAAAGGTTCAAAAATATTATCCAAGAATATTAATTCACCAACTTGATTTCTCCTATATAGTTAGAAGAAGAAAATATTTAACATGTTACGATTGTTTGTAAATAATTTAGGGTGAAAGTCAACATTTATGGAAAAAAAAATAATCATATGATTAACACTCAAAACTTGTTTTCATGTTTATGTTGTAAAAATATTATCAACATGAATCACAAAAATCAAATTATAGTTTATTATAATGATTATCAATAAAATTATTGCAGATATTAATATTCAAGAAAATAATCTTTTTGATCCTATCTTATTTGGAAATGTGTTTGTGCAAGCAATTAATGCATATATTTAAAAATTTTGAAATAAGATATGCATTAAATGCTTCCATATTTCATTACTACTATTTTTAATAATTGGTTATTCTCTTTATATAGATACATAGATATAGATATGTATCGAAGTGATAATGGATAAGTAGTACGAATATTTAGAAATTAAAAATGCTCATTAAATAACATTTATAAATTAAAAATATGAAATCAATATGTAATACAATTTACCTATATTAATTTACATAAAATTTTATATCAACATTACATAAAACATGGAAATTTAAAATTAGTACATGACACGTACAGTGCAAGTAACTGATAATAAATTACATTATATTCCTTTGAAAATAAGTGGCATTTTGAATTTTTTGTTCAGAAATTTGATTTGACTAAAATGTGATTTTATAAAATAATTATTTTGGTAAAATTTTATCATATATTTAAAAATCTATGTGAATAATAAGTATAATTATAAAACTCATATAGTTTCATTAATTAAAATGAATTTATTTTTTTATACGCTATCCAAATAAAAAAATAATTAGTTGAGTAATTTAGTAAACTATAAATAACTTACTATTTTATTTACGTCTAAGTTAATATTGACTCATAAGTTATTACTAATTACTCATATTAATTTTAAATTTTGAACCAAATTTGGACTACATAATATATATATATATATATATATATATATATATAGAGAGAGAGAGAGAGAGAGAGAGAGAGAGAGAGAGAGAGAAGGGATCATATGAGAAAGAGGGATAATGAAAGAAATAAGAATGAATGTAGACCATTAGATTCTACATATCAATGGTTAAGATATAGTCAAATTTTGGTCAATCATTAATGGCAATATAGTAATTTAACACATATTGTGGTCAAATATGCACATTTTACCACTAAATAAGGGTAAATGAGACATTAAACACACGAATGGGTCCCACCAAACCTACCCACCACGCCACCACATTTATACTCTCTCTCTCTCTCACAATAACACAAAAAACACACACTTATGCACACACCTAACAGACACACGCACAGAACACACACACACAAAATCGGCACCACCACCTTGCAGCCGCCGTCTTCCGCCTGTCGCCGGCAACCGGCCGTTCGATCCCATCGCCGCCGTCCCCAACCAACGTCGCATCCAGCCCTCTGCCTCCACGTGTCGTCATCCTTGCAGAGGCGGCTGAAACCGCTAGAGAACGAGCAGTGAAGACCCTCCGCTGCGCGACCATGTGTGCCACAGAGTCCGCCGTCATCACGTCCCTCATCTCCCGGTGGTGGCGGCAGTCTGTCTTCTCCGACAAAAAAATGTGCAGATTCCACAAGAATAAGAAGGCTCGAGCTCGTCGCCGGCAATGACGAAAGGATGGGACGGACGACTGAGCTCTGCGTTCACTTTATAAAATTTCAGATAAAAAACTCTAATTCGGTCTGTTTCGCTTTCGCTATCTATTGTGCAATCTGTTGGTCGCGCCAAAGTGCAACGTCTTATTTTATAAAGTGCAACGTGTTGTTTTATAAAGTGCAACATGTTAATATATAAAGTGCACTACTGTAATTTTGGTACGTTAACATGCTTGTATTTTTTTGTGGACAAATGATATGATGGATGCTAAAGTATATGTATCTCCATTTTTTAGATTTATGTTGTGTTGTATTTTGGTGGAAGCCATTGTCAATTTCTTTTTTATATTTATGTTCCGTGTTATTTTGGAGGAAACCATTGTCACTAATTGTGGAGTGTGGTGATAATGTGCACCGTGTTGTTTTATAAAGTGCAACGCGTTGTATTATAAAGTGCAACGCGATGTTTTATAAAGTGCGGCGTGCTTTTATATAAAATGCACTACTTTATTATAATCTCAGATAAATTATGTGTATTCAAAAAACTAGTTTTAGTAGTTATAATTGTACATCGAATACGAAATTATTTAAAATATTTTATTATTTATTATTATAAAAGTATATTTAGTATTTTTAATATATTTTTACCTTATTTTTTGGTAAGTTTAGTGATTACTAGACCGAATCATTCCAAAATTTCCCATGTTATAGCACAAGCCATTATTCAAATGAATCCACAGCCTCCCCATAGGACATAAACCATTTTCAACACCCAACAGCTAAACCCAGAAAAAGTAAAACCAAGAATCAGAATCCCATAAAGCAAATCCACAATTTCACCAAGAATAATGCTTTTTTTCCACTTGTCCCACAAAACTACATCAAATTTATCCCTTCAGCTCCAAACCCACTTGCAGAAGGAAAATAAGGGGCCTGGACGAAAAATTTGTTGTCTTGAACCAAAAAACAGAGATTTGCATAGTAGCACTAAATTGACACAATTTTGGTGTGGATGGGAACCAAGAAACGAGTGTTTAATTGTTGGAGCAGAAAAAAAAAAAGACTGGATATTTCGCAAGCTTGAGATTTGGGAATTTTGTTAAGTATGTGAATTCTGTGTAATTGATCCTAACACAATTTTGTTTGCCTTGGTCTGCAAATCTATGGCTACAGTCGCCGACGACCAGTTGCGAACCGGCGAGAGCATGAAATTCACGGTGGTGCTGTGTGCGTGCATTTGTGTGTGTGTGTGAGAGAGAGAGCAGATAGGGGAACAGAGGCTGGATAGCAGATCTACGGCGGATGAAGGCTGCGGACGGCCGGCGACGGGCGACGGTGGAGCGATTTTCCGGCCGTTGAAGTGGTGCAGCATGTGTGTTGCACGTGTGTGAGTGTGTGCATGTGTGTGTGAGAGAGAGAGGGTGACAGGCGTGGATGGGATGGGGTGGGGCCCAGTATTGTTGATATTTGATTAATGAATAAATGTCTATAATACCCTTAATGAGTGTAAAATATGATTAGTTTTTTTAGTCACTAGATCATTATGCTATGATTTATTCTTATTTCTTTCACTCAACAATATTCTCGCTGGAACCCAACCCTATATATATATATATATATATATATATAAGATATATAGGATATTGTTCAAATGAGAACCAAGTTCTAGCAAAAGAATCGTGAGATCCGCTATTTTTAATTGTATGTAGTGTTACGATTGATTGTGTTTTAGTGCTATTTTTAACTAGGATGTATTTGATTAAAAATAGTAATAAATTTTTTATTAGCATTTGTGAAAATGATAGCACCATGCAATATTAAAATTAGCATCATGCACGATTATAAATAGCATCAAATATGGTTCTCACGGTTCTCACACCAGACCTAGTTTTTATTTGAACCAGCCCCTATATATATTAGCTTGCAATTTTCTAGATTTATTGTCGGTTACCTTATCGTTCAAATTAATTAACTACTTCTCTATAATTAAATTACAAATTTTAAATTTTATAAACCAATATTTGTTCAAAGAGCTTTCTTATTCTCAAGAGGAATACATACCAATTTGTCAAATTATCATCAATATCTTATGACAATTTAATATAGAAATATGCTAAAATTTAAGAACCATATCACCTTGATTTTATTACAACATAAAATTCGACTTTCATACACATACCAAATAAAATTCATACTACTTGTTTTGTTTTTAAAATTTTTAAATATACTTCTATACGTCACAAATAAATTTCATACCAAAATAAAATTCCCATTTTATATCATAAATTCTGATATTTATTATTAACAATACATTTTTTACCAAAAATAAAAATAGCCATCAGATACCTCAAATAAAATCGCCCCCTTTATACGAAAACTGGATTAATTAATTTTTCCAATTTTATACAATAAATTGATTGATTAATTTTGGGAGGAGGAATTTTTTAAAAAATTTCAAAAGAATTATTAAGTTTAGTAATTTTTAAAATTTTGAGGCGGAAATTTAGTTAATATCAAATACAAATCTTTTTATAAACCTTTTTTATAGATATATAGATATATATGAATTTCAAAATACGTTCCTAATGGTGCGATCCTTAGAATCTACTACAATCAAATATATCTCTTAATATATGCTAATATTCATTTTGTTTGACGAATATATTAGATATGGTTGCAATTTTAAAATAAATAAATATTTGTGATACCTAAATTCACATATTATTTAAAATAAAAAAATACAAATATATTTCCTAATGACACGTAACACACATTTAATAATATTAAAAGCTTGATTCCTAATATTTATTCGTACGTTAATATGAAGATGTGAGTCCTTTTTTTTTTTAAATAAAAACTCCGTTCTTATCAAGATCATTAAAGTTTTTTTAGGATGTAGTAATTAATGAAATATTTTTCTAGATCTCGCCCACTATGTACCAAAAAAAGATTCATTAGCTTTGCAAACAAAATACCATAAATTGATTAAGTTATTTCTCAATTTAGTAATTATGATTTTATTGGCGGGAAATAGTTAATATTTTAGAAATAATCAAACTTATATATATATATATATATAGATATAAATATAGATATAGATTTAATATCTTGCTTTTTTTCTTTCACAATCAGTTACCATAACTGTTTTATGTTTCCTTTTCCTACATTACCATATATTACATTTCTTTTTCTTATTTAATTTATACATCAATTATTATAAATGTTTCTTCTTCTTATTTTTAAAATTTTATAACTTTTTTTGTTTGTATTTATTTTTCATATATGAAATATCAAATTAGTTATCTTTTAACGATATTCGATTTGACATATATAATACAAAACAATGATATAAATCCTAAAAAATAAAATTCAAGTTTATTGATCAAAATGAATTAAAAATATCAATAAAATTATAAATTATCTTATAAATTAATAGAAATTTATACGTATTAACATACCACAAATAATTACTTTACTTGAAAAAAATGTGTAAACTAAGTATGAACATCAAATTAATATAAATAAATTCTAAAAGTTTATATCTCAACTTAAATAAAGAATACATAGAGAATGAACATTATAATTAGAATAATAAAAATAATTATTATAATTCATAAAGTTTAATCTCATACACATTATATTTAAAATTATTGAATATAATATAGTTGAAGTTAATTTCAAAAATATAATACGAGGGAAGAAAACTGTATAAAATATAAAATATTTTAGAATATAATCAAAACAGAAAAAAAATAAATTAATTCAAAATAAAATTATTGAATTGTAAATAATATATGTATATATGTATATATATGTGTGTGGGGTTAAAAAAAATTATCATTTTAACAAATCGAGTATCAAAATAGATATTATTTTAAACAATTGACTTTATTATTTTTTATATATTAATTATGTATTTAATTTTTTATCATTCCAACTATTAACTTCTCCACTTCTTTATTTTGATAAAATACTTAATTTTCAAGCCCCCTGTTGTTCACGAGCTTTATATTAACTGCCGAATAAATTATTTATTCTATTTAATTTTGATATGAATAAATATATATGAAGTACAAAAAAATCATACGTCATAATAATATTTTATTGAATTCAAAATAATATTTAAAAAATATTTTTTAATAATTATCTATAATTTTTTACTTCCCAATAAGAATTTCAATTTTTTTTCAATTTTTGCTGGACAAATTAGTTTTTTTATGAAACTCCCGTATAGTTCACGGGCGTTATATTAGTTTTATATTATTACCAAAAGTTTCTACTATAGACTTGGAATTCGTACTTTGTCATTTATACATTAATGTACGCATAATTTCAAAGAATGTACTCTCAGTTTACCGATTTTCGAATCTACAAGAGACATTGGCTATCATCAAAACAAATACAATATAGTGCTATTTTCATCAATTTCACTATATTAAACACATATCCTTTCAGGATGAGTTGTGATATGGAAAATTGTCTCTTAACTGAGTTAAGTGGGTAATACCACGAACTGTTCTTCGCCTTCAGCCCCGATAAATTGCAAAACGTGCCGGAGAGGGGTCATGGCAAAAAACCTCCAACGCTCAACTCAGAATCCCACTAACAAATATACTGAAAATTTTATGCAAAAGGTTAGTAATGCGTTGTGTAAAATAGAACCTGGTTACCTCTTTTTATATGGAGGTTATCTTTCTGTCCAAGCAGGCTCTTTACATGGAAAGAGATCCTACCATATCTCATTTCCCAATACAACACGTGTCTAGGATCTTAGATTCCTGAGTGAGATAAATTTACCATTCTTATTAGGATTCTATTCCATCACACATTACAACTCTTAGGTCCTTAGATCGTCAAAACGACCTTGTGACATATCCGCTGAGATGCTTGTTAGGGTGAAACATCAACATACACTCACACCGACACGCGACCTCTAGTTCGTAAGATCCCATCATTTGCCCAAGCTCTATGAGGAGCTGGGCCTCTCAATCCTCTGGTCAGGTCGACCCTTACCCTTAGCTGCCTAAGCTAGCTTCCTTCCGAGGTCAAGCATTACTACCGAGCTAAAGTTTCCTTGAAACCGACCATACCCGAGCTAACCTCTCAGGCCGGTTACCGAGCTATTCGGTTAGCTCGGAGGAAGGTTCTGAGACTGATGCTGAGACTGAAGCAGGTTCTGATGAAGATTTGGAGAATCATGCAATTGGAGAAGAAAAGAGTCTGAATAGACTCATTGTCTGACTACTGTTGGGATATTTGGTTCTTTGTTAAACATTGTCTGTTGGATTGATATGTTTTGGTGATGAACACCTATTTTGTTTTATTTTGCTGCTTTAGTTTGGTTGTGGTGGTTTGAACTGGATCTTTTATTGGCTGTAGCNGGTTGTGGTTATTTGAGTTGTTCCTATGAACAACATCTCTTTTGACCTGATATATTGACACTACACATAGTGTATTTCTGGTTGATAGTGTCTTGTTGATAATGCATGTTGATTGCAAGGAATTTTCGATTTATATGCCAAAGGGGGAGATTGTAAGATTCTGAGGATTGATATTAAATCGACAACTCTGAACTAAAGCTTGGAACCTTCGTCATCATCTGGAAACAATGTTGAATCATAAAAAGGAAACTTTTCAATATTTTATCTTGCTTACTTGAGTATACCTAGTTTTCTATTTACTTGGATTATTTTGTTTGGAAGGAAACAAGATTCATTACCATATAGAGGAGTCATATGCCCACATACCATGTGTGGAAACTGTTGATGACCGACTTGGTTTCGTAAGATAAAACCGAAGACTAATCGCCCCATTCGATCAATGGTCCCCCAGAAATAGCTGAACTTAGCTTAAGTCGGTACCAGTTGAATAAATGAATTACCGATTTCCGGATGATAGAAAGTAGAACCGACTATTTATTAGAAGCCGATGACCGATTTCACCGACATCGTGATTCGCTGAATTAAAAATTATCCATTTAACCGACTTCCGAGGAGACCAAATATCCAAGCAAGATGGTGTTGTAAACATTCAATTGGACCATCAAAATATAAAGCAATTATTGATGTTCCCTTGCCCCATGACACACCGCTTTATTGAAGCTGCTCAACATTAAATGCGACCTTATCTACCTCGGACAAAAAGACAAAACAACCGAACTATAAATAGCAGAATTGATGATTGTATGAGGATTTTTTTTTTCGCACATTGTACACGGACTTAAAATGATCTCGGTCAAGATCAAAAAACCGACTTCCTGTACTTTTGTGAAAACACCAGTAATATATGATTATCTTCTTATTTCTGTTTAAGCACACCTTGCTGTTTAAATTTTGAGTTGTTAATTTCATACAACAACAGCAACCATGAGAGAGAAAGAAGACTTACCAAGTCAAGTTGACTCGTGAGAGGGACAAGTGGCCGGATTAATGTGGACGCGTATAATTTTGAAAGATCGTGCTAGAGGAGGACTTGCCATATTGAGCTGAGATAAAACGGTTTCTATGCTCAACTAGAAACATACACTTGACAAATCAATTGTTTTTCGTGAGTGAACTTGAAAAACTAGTCGAGAAACTTATTCTTATCTTATTTTTTTTTTATTAAGTTGAGACGAGAGTCTGTTCTCGATATTGATATTGCAGTTAAGCATAAACTTATTGTAATTGCGTGTTAGTGTGTGGGTGGAACACTAAAAAGACAATACGAGGGATTCATGTCGAGAAAATCCACAAGGGATTTGTGGTCGGGAAAGTAGGTATATAGGTGATTACATTGTAGGTTCAGAAGAGGGAGTCTTTTTTGTATATCGTAAGTGTAATGGTCCAAACACTTATATATACGAAAGAGTTTCGAAGGGGGAATGGAATGCTTCTCTGAAGGTTCATGTTTTGTAGAGCCCTGCTTCCGCAATTGTGTGAACTTACACTTGAGTTTACTGTTTGGTATACTTAGCGCAATTTTGGTATATTGCCCAAAATTTCAATACTAAACAAAAAGACATAAGCTCACAACAGAAGAATAACACAATTCCAAAAGGGAGAATAACAAACTCTCAAACAGGAACCTAAACCACATAACCAACAACACACAACTAAACACTAAACTAAACACTGAAACACAACACTCAACAGACAAAGAACCAAAAAACAATGCAACAAGAAACAGGACGCTATCCCCTTTCAGCCGACTAGCACCTGGTACCTTCGCCACCCAACCGACTCCAAAGCAGGAAACAGAAGAGCCTCCGGCACCCAGTACAAACACACGGGTCGAGAGACTCCTCCTACGGCTAACTCGACTCGGATTGACGGACTGGAGACTTCCCCTGAAACACCACAACAGATAACTCTAAGAGACCGAAGCCAAAAAGTCCCGCCCCGCCACCTCAAACGACACTCGCAGCCCAAGGACCATCGACACCGAAAGAAACATGACGGTAGACATAAGCCCCAATCTCCGGCCAATAGTCGCACGCAACAACAAGCCCAAGAGTCGCGCTCCGCCCGTAAGCCAACCACTACCATCACTGCGGCCATGGCATCCAAGAAAGTGGACGACGCCCACTCGACAACAGCGATCGCTAGCACGCCGGAAGAACAACATAATCGGAGCCAACAGGGAGCCGAGGGTCGAAGATGGCCCCCCGAGCCAGACCTTCGCCCAGGTGCAAGCCAAACCACTCCCTTCACCAAGACCTGGTGACGGCTAGCAAGACCCACCCATCGAGCAAAATATGACCACAAAACCACGCCTCGACGCCCGCCGACCCTAACCTCACCACAAAACCGACAAAACATCTAAAAGCCCAAAGCCAGAGGACTCAATCGCTGGAAGCAACTCCCCGTTTCAGCCCAGGAGATGACGGAGAGAAGAGGAAGAGGGCGGCGGACCTAGCCCGAAATTGCGACCACGGCTCCATCCCCGTCGCTGAAAAGTCACCTCAAACCGCCGACGTGACCGCCCAAGACAGATGGAGCCACATCATTGGAGATGACCGAATAAGGAATTGAAGGTGAGGGCCGTGTTGGGAGAATGATTGATGGCGGACAAAGGTTGCACGAGAAGAATTTGGAGAAAAAATTTAGGGTATGAGTGTTTGATTATGTTATAATATTGTGCATGAGGAGCATGAGAAGAATAAAATAAAATATGTGAATGACTATTTTGCTCTTGATGTAATTGTATTATTACGATAGTGCCATCAGAAGTTTTCCTATAAATAGGAGCTTCAGTTATAATAAAAATACAATAAAGAGAAATCATTCTCTATATTCTCTCTTTTCTCTCTAGTTTTATAACACGTTATCAGCACGAGTCTCTAACCTTTAGAGCTCGATTTGTAATAGTACGAGAGTATTCTCTACAGTTGCGTCTCATAGATGATCTTCTGTATCAGAAATTGAATTATTACAAATCGTTATTTTCTTGTGATCATTACCAAAAACTCTTAAAATATATATATATATAAGAAAATATTGGCATATATTAATATTTATGATCGGAGAACAAGAATTGCTGTCGATGGAGATCGTGAAGCTAGGTTATCATTACCTATGAACCAGAGGTCGATTTTATTCATAACAAGATTCACATGAACTCTATGCTGAACATGACGGAAATCCTATGCATCTCGGGCTTCACTTTCCTCCTATACTACCACATCCACACCCGTCTTCTCCGACAAGTCAACTTTCAATCCCGATTCTCCGCCTACCTCGAGTTTCGGGTGTTTCTACATCTCCGACGGCCTCCCAACTACTCACACGTCGGAGACCGCATTTCAGACACCATCTTGAGATTCTAGGAGGTAAACCCTTTTGAGGAACATCAGCGCCTGTGCATTTTTTTTGTCATATTTCAATGTTGAAGCCATAATTGATGCCGGTGAGCTCCTTTTGAGAGGTAAACCTTTCTAATCTCTTAATCATTATATTTTTTCATCTACTATTATATGGAAAACTAATTTAATCCTTGGAGTGGTGAAATATAGTCCAAAATGACACGTTATTGGTATATATTGTTATATTTGAATGCATATATTATTATATGTGAGTGTGTGGACTATTGTTGGATAATTATTGGTGGTATTAGTATAATGTGAGCTGAAATGATATGCACTAGCCTACAACAATAAAATAAATTAATTTTAGGTGCTCTTCATGAAACTTCCAACATGAAATCAATTTTTATGTACATGGCGTTATAAGATAAATTGTTTTAATTAGGATTTGCCAAATAAAATAAGTTGTATTTATTGAAATAAATTTATTTCACTTTCATACTACTCTATTTAATTAGAGTTTCAGACCAATATTGATATAATTTATTAAATTATACATATTGGTATTATGAAATGTTTGAAATCTTTTATTGAGAAAATTATTTGGTAAGTGAACATGTGGATATTTATGGATTGATCCATGTGATATGAAATATGTAGTGCCAGAAGCACATGTACAAAAACATAATTTATCACATGATAAATATGATAGAAAATTATATCTTATATAAGGATATATTTACTTGATTTAATTGTCCTTATTTATGAACTTATCTTGTTTGATATGTATCCTATTATTATTAACATTAGTTGTTAATATTTGAAAGTGATATGTCCAGTAGACATTATCATCTAGATAAGGATTATTTTCAATGATAGAGGAAAAATATTATATAACTTATGAAATATCTCATAATTTAATTGTTATACTTCTGAAGAGTTATAACATATGTAGTGCCTGAAGCACATAGTGTTCACAAAAAAAAAATTGATTTTTGATGCTCAACTTATATATTTGATAATTAGCATGAGCATTTGGATCATATTGGACAATTTTTCATAATTTTTCCCCAAATGGTGCGTGGAGAATCAAACATTTCCCATCTGCGATTATGCACAATCTTATATCACCACCAATTCGTACCTTTATGGGCCAATATTATAAACTAGGTATGCTATAATACTCCGTCAGATTTTTAATATTTAGAGGCCATTAAAGGGGGTCAATTTATTATTTGGTACGTATTGTGCGACAATATTTAACGGCATTAGGGGGAGATATGAGCATAAATTTATTAATGCCGTAAAATATTTGAAATATTAATGTTTTAATTATTGAAACCACACAATAAAAATTGAACTTGAAGTTCATATTATATTTCTGCCAAACGAAATTTATAATAATAATGGAGTGAGCAATTTGTATATATCTAAATGTACCACAAAAGTAAGAAGAATCCCTAGGGAATGATTGCCTTCTTAATGCTAGAAGCATAAGGTGATATAATTAATATATGATGTGTGAAAGTCCGCGGAAAATATATATTCAAGATTTAACACTCCTTTATAAACAAACTCCTGGAGAGTTGATCCAGTATATCTTGCACGTGCATCAAATCATTATAGTACTGAAAATGCGGAAAAACCAAAATTAAATGTTACGGGAAATGATTATAAATATGGCTACTAAATATGAAGTTGCACATATGGTTGAGAGAATATAAATTGAATATCATAGTTGTCGACAACATAATTGCCTATGTGATTTCTTTACTATCTCAAATAATGATCCAGATCAAAATAATGAAAGTGCTAAAAGCGCTTAGATTGATTGAGATAGAAAGAAAAATAAAGGCAGAGTTTTTACTCGCTACACAATATATCCCAGAAGGATGAATACTTATATGTGATATGGTGGTGTGATGTAAATATAGCGAGAATATGAGTTTACGCAGTTACCCAAAATTTTATAAAACTTCTCTCATTATTTATTATTCCGCAAGTTAATATATATGGCAGCAAAATTATCATGACTATTGAGTCATATGTGAAAGTTCTGGATGGACTCGAATACCCGAGATGAAAGATAATTAAATCATTTATTATATAAAGTTGTTGGTAAGATGTGGTACAACCAACAAAATTATTCCTGAAGAAGTATTCAAGGTAGAACCTTGTGTATAATATACAAAATGATCATCTCGGTTAAATAGATTATGAACACTATGTAAAAGATTAAATAAGTTAGCTCATGCTTATAGACGGAGTTATAATAAAACTCTTGGTTAAATATCAAAGAGTATTATCTCGACTTGAAGATCGAGCATCTCCTAGAAGGAGTATTTGTAAAGATCCCAAAGAAACTAAAAATATTATTATTACTGAAGAACAAGTACATAAGGATCATATGATGGAAATACAGATAAGAGGTTGTGAATCCTCAATAAATATGCGAAAAATATTACATAATAGAACCCATTAAAGAAGGGTGTGTCTCGAGAGTATAAACTCCGTAACTCTACCACCCATGATTATTATATGGGTTCATAATGAGACATCTAAAGGATCAAAAGCTTTTTTTCGCTTGACCCCTTGTGTTTCCACAGAATGTTGAAATGTGATGCATTCTTGAAGTTTTTTGATAAGCTCAGAAGGCGTGTCTGCAGATTTGAATACTTCTCTCGTTAAAGGATATATAAAGGTTTGATATACTCCTTCGTCTAAAAATCCAAGCAAACCATGAAAATAATTATTAAAATTCAATAGACCAATGGGCTTATTATGAAGTTTCAATTCTGCCCAAGAAGCAATGGTAAACATTGCCATTAAAGTTCCATAACCACCTGGAAGAATGATAAAAGCATCACTATTGTTCACCATATCCATCATACAGTCACAAATAGAATGAGTTAGCATCATACTTGTGGAATCTTTGACGACCCTTGTTGAAGCTCTATGAAAAGGTATGATACTTTTCACTTCTATATCAAAACATTTTCCAGCCATTAAAAGGTTATCAAAGAAAGTGATGCTAGTCCCTCCATACAGTATATTGATTTTTCGATTCCCCATCTCCCTTACTAGTTGACTTACAATATCAATATTTTGAGAAAAACTTACCAGTTTAGAACCACCAAGAACACACATGGTTTTGATCGGATGAAGAAATTTATTATCATGAGAATACTCTGAAACATCCATCTATTTATTGATAAAATAAATTTTGTGAGATATATGATTATGATGAATGACTCGCTGTTTAAATAGGATGTTTTACAAAACGATAACCGACAGATAAGGCGTTAAGTCTTCAAAGAATCTTATCTGTCGGCAGCTATAAGATTTTATGAAAATTACAGTACGAAATACAGAACTGTATTTTTCATACTAGCAAGAACAATTTTTACAAACTTGATCTTTTGAAATAATATTTTCGACACTATAACGTTCTTTTTCATGTTTGAAACGAATCCGTAGAGACATAAGCTCTCGATGCACATAACCACTCAGATGTGTCTCAAGAATCTGTTGAATCGTTTGATCCATAGATTCTTTACTCAATCCATCCTTTATAAATGATATTTTATCTTCTCGATTTTTGGACACGAACCCCACAGATATACATCGTGTGTCACAAGTCCATCGAGCGCATTTGTAGCATCCACCTAATCTTCTTGCTCTTCGTTTCTTTGAAAAAGTACTTTTACCCATACCTGGCATATATTTGTATGAATTTGGAAACTCTCCAGACAATCGGACTTTTGCTTCAATCAACCATCGAATATCATTTGGAATATCATTAATCATTAGCACCCTCAATCTTTCTAATCAAGATCGATAAATCCTTTTTATGATATTTATTGGGAGAAAAGAATAATATTTACGGATATTTGAGAGTGCTAAATCCATTTGTGAATTCGGACCTTTGTTAAGGAAAATTGAATGATTTACCTGATAATTTATAAAAGTGATGCGTATGCGATACAGCTATAAAAACAGAGCTTAAAAGTCTTTATG